CCATCCATATATCCATTCATCTATATATCCATCCATCTATCCATCCACCCATCCATCCATCTATCTATCTATTTATCTATCTTTAGTGAGCGGGGTGGGACTCACGCCACGTCGATCTTCCCGTCGGGTCTCCGGCTGGCTCCCATCACTTTGGTTCCCAGCTTGAACTTGAGGCCCTGCTTCTGCAGGATGCGCTGGAAGTTCTTGGACATCTCCATGTCGATGCCCATGCCGCCCACGTGGCCCAGGAACTCCACCGCCGTGACCTTTGACCCCAGGCGCTGCCACACCGAGCCCTGAGGGACAGGAGGGAAAAACCACCAAAGGCTCTTAAGGGGTCCTTCCTCTTTTCTGGACTGTGTTCATCATCTTAGGATGTGCTCAATCTCTTTTTTTTAAGAAAGTTCTGAGGAATTTCTCTGCCAGCTTTCCTTAAGACGGGGACACTTTCTGCTGACGTTGACAAAAAAAGGTTCAGAAAGAAGCGGGAAGGTTTTTAACTACATGACCGAGGCAGATCCAGACTCCAGATCCAGTTTTTTTCAAGTCCGATCCCACACGAGCATTAGCATTAGCATTAGCATCCCCTAACCCACAGGCCTGTGTCTTAACCATTAAGTTGTTATCAGAGTAAATCCCTGTTCAACATGAGTCTGACAACTAAGTAAGCAGATAAATAACTTTAAACCTTTTTTTTCTTTTTTTAAAATAAAAATAACAAAAATAATTAAATAAACTAAAATATTAAAATAAATTAAAATTAAAAACTAAAATGTTAAGTTTAAAAAATTTAAAATAAAAAAAAAATAATAAAAATAAAAATAATAAAATAAAAATATGAAAATAAATTAAAAATAAATTAATTTCTTTTTTAGAGTGTTAACAAGTTAAAAATAAATAAATTAATCAAATAAATAAAAATATTTTTTTTTTTTTTTAGAGTTTTAAAAAGTTACAAAAATTCATAAATTAAAAAAATTCATAAATAAAAAATAAATAAATATCTTTAAACTTTAATCCATGCTCTGATAGGCCGGGATCGGATCGGAAGAGCTAAAATCTGGATCTGGCCGTCCCTAAAACGGAGGCCGGCTAACGCTGGCTAACGCGGTTAAAGCCACAGAGAAATGAAAATAATAAAAAAACAATAAAAATATTAAAATAAATGAAAAGTAAATGTAATTTTTTATTTTATTTTAAAAATAAAATAAATTAAATTAAAAAAAAAAAAAATTTTTGTTTTAAAATAATAAAATAATAAAATAATAAAATAATAAACTAATAAAATAATTAAATAATTAAAATATTAAAATTAATTAAAAATATAATTTTTTCAAAAAAGTAAAAAAAAACTAATAAATAAAAAAAAAGGTTAAAGCAACAGAGATCCTGACCAGCTCGACTCCGATGACTCCGGCCCCGATCACGATCAGCTCCCCGGGGACCTTCTTCAGGGACAGGGCTCCTGTGGAGGACACCACGCTGTCCTCGTCGATCTGGTGAGACGGGGGGGGGGCGGTCAGGGGCTGGTCAGGGGGAGCTTTATTGCTTTTTTACATACAATAAAGCTTGAGACCCACTTTTTTAAATTAGCATTTAATTGGGACTAGGGTCTCTTAGGTTTCCTCCTTCTGTCTGCTCCTTTCTACGCACTTCTGGAAGGCTTTTAATTCACCACTACAGCACTTTTAGTTGTTTCTGTATGTTTTGTATGTTTTTTTGCATTGTTTTATGGCTTTGTTGTAAAGCACTTTGAGTACCATTTGGGTATTGTAAAGGGCTATACAAATAAACTTGATTGATCGGCCGAGGCAGATGGCCGCCCACCCTGAGCCATGGTTCTGCTCCAGGTTTCTGCCTGTTAAAAGGAAGTTTTTCCTTGCCTGTGTCGCCTAGTGCTTGCTCATGGTGGGAATTGTTGGGTTTCTGTAATTAACTTCAGAGTCGGGTCTGACCTGCTCTGTTTGGAAAGCGCTGTGAGACAACTGTTGTTGTGATGTGGCGCTATATAAATAAAATTGAATTGAATTGATTTTAATTTTGTAATGTCATTGTCTGAACGTGTGTTTGGACTGATTTTGTATTTTGTGATTTTGTGTTGTTTGGTCTTCCTGCCTCAGGACGACAGATGTAAACTAGCAACTATGCTAGAATCTGGCTCATTTACAATCTGTATGAGATTGTTCATTAATGTGCACTGTCCTGATTAAATCAACAAATATTGATTGATTGAAAACCTGAATCCCGGGGAAAGGCGTGACCTCGGAGCCCGTGGCGATCAGGATGTTCTTGGTGTTGATGACCTGCTCGCTGCCGTCGGCCGCCGTGGCGGTCACCTGGTTCTTCCCGGTCACTCGCCCAAAACCGTTGACGTGGGTTACCTGGAGGAGAAGACACACACAAGGCAGGGGGGTTAACACGCGCTCGTTTAGGGGGGGACGGACGATCAAACCAGTAGGGGTGGGACGGTTCACAAAATCCACGGTTCGGTTCGATTCACGGTTTCGTGGTCACGGTTTTCGGTTCGATTCGGTATATGTTGATTGTTAGGAAAATCTATTATGTCTTGTATAGTGAGGTTGAAACTGAAAGAAAAAAGCAGTCTGACATTTGATACATTATTGAGACAGTCTGAGGTTAAAAGTAGGTGAGATTCTGGCATTGCCAGCGAGGAAACAGTGCTAATTCCAACATGTGCTTCCCTCTAAATGCAAAGTGGTCCCATACAGCAGAATATAAACTGCTGCTGGCGGTCTGATTTTTATTATCGGCTACGCTTCTTCTTCTTCTTCTTGTTTCTTACTGGTGGTTGGCTTTGGGCGCAGTAGCGCCCCCTTCTGCTCTGGAGTGTAAACGCTTCCCTCTGAGAAAAAGGAGCAGCAGGAACCGAACGCAACACACGCGAACCGAACCGAGACAGAACCCGACGGTTCGGACGGTTTTCAGAAACCGTCCCATCCCTACAAACCAGACGAGGAGAAAAAAAGAGAGGAGCCAGACTTTGTTCTGTTTGAAGAGATGCGCGATTCCTCCGGTCAGCGCCTTGACCGCCCCGCTCTTCTGGGCCATCATCTTCTCCAGGTTCAACGAGATGCCCGAAACTGAGGGGGAAAAGACGGTGGTCAGCTTCTGCTAGGCGAATAATGTGGATGTAGGACCAGAGTCCAGCTGTCCAGACCACAGGAACGCAGCGGGCTGAGGTCCAGCGACGGATATTTTTTGTTGGTTGGACACTCTGCATGTTTGTACTTCACAGTTGTAGAAGATCATTTCAGTAGGAGGTGCAAAATCCAATTTATTTTAATTTATTTGTTTAAATTTTTTTTATTTTAACTATTTATTTTTTGCTGTGACTGGACGGTCCAAAAGGAATAAGGGCCTATTGATGTTTATCTATTTTCTTTTGTATTAATAGGATATACGAGAATATAGTAGTATTATGCAAAATCCAGTTTATTTTCATTTGTTGTGACTGGAAGGTAAATAGGGAAGGGCCTATAGATGTTTATCCATTTTTTAAATATTAATATGAAAATATAGTAGTTTTATAGTACTTTTAATTGAATGACATTCTCACATTTTATTGCACTTTTTTTATATATTACATTTTATTTATTCATTCAATATTTTGTTTATTGAACATTTTACTTTACTTTTGACACACAGGTGAGATTTTATGTTTTGGCCCTTGAGCTCAAAATTAACTCCAATTAAATAGAAGTTCTTTCATTTTTGGGGAAATTAGTCATTAAGATTGGTCGACTAATTGGGGGCTAGAATAGTGGTGAGTGTCCCCAATGGGAAGATACACATGTTTATATTCTACTTTGTGAGTCGCTTTGGATAAAAGCATAAACATTAAATTAGTCGTTATGAATAATACGAGCTTCGATTCAAGGCAACTACACTTCTTGGATCTTTTTTTCTTTTTTGACATGTGGTGAATGGTAAATGAGCCGTTTTTTGGACTTTTGGTGTCTGGTCTGATTCGATGGGCTTTAAAACGGCATCTCAGAAGCTTCTTACTTTCTATGCCTCTGCTTTCAAAGTCCTTGCCATGAGCCAAGTGGTACAGATGGGAGTTGTTGAGCAGAGCCTGCAGGAACAACAAGAAGAAATTAAAATTAGGTGACATTTCACATGGGAGTGGGATGTTTGGCTACAAAATACAAATTTCAGCTTTTTACATCGACTGAAACAAGAAATGTCCCAATTATATTTTCCACCACACGATGATCCGATGATTTCCAAAACATTTTTTAATTAATTTGATTTCTGTTTTGGTTCATCTTGGTGAACAGACAAAGATGGAGCCAACGTGGAGAGAACTCAAAGGTAGAAACTCAGAAGACGATTGAGAGAGAAGAAATTAGCTGGAAAATACCAAGCTGATACCAAAAATACCCCCTCTATCAGCCCAAAACTAAACCAATAAAACTAAGTGATTGCACATATTTTAGTCACTCAAATCTCTGCGCTGTGTTGCTTCCTTGTATATCTGTTTGTCTTTGCTGTTTGTACTTTATCTTTATGCACCTTTTCCTCCTTTTGAACTCTCTTTAGTCACTAAACCGATGTGTGACCAGTGAATTTCTCCACTGTGAGATCAATAAAGCTCTTATCTTATCTTAATACAATTTTAGCAAACTTCTGAGCAAACTTTTAACTTTACAAACGAACGATGTGATGTGGAATAAACCCGTTTTTTTACCTTTGAGGGGATGCAGCCCACGTTGAGGCAGGTCCCACCGAGCGTGGAGTTTTTCTCCACACAGACCGTCTTTAAAGGGAAACGTGCATATTAGCACAGTTTACAAAAATAGAAGAGGTAGAGAAGATGGCGAATGGATGGGGAGGGGTGTGGCCTACCTTAAAGCCCAGCTGTGCAGCTTTGATGGCAGCCACGTAGCCGCCGGGACCTGAACCCACCACCGTCACATCTGCATCAACTACGGAGAGAAAGAAAATAAAAAAACAGTTTGCATCCCGATTGAAAAACCAGAGAGCAGCATAAACATCTAATTACTCACTCACACACAGAGGATAAGAAAGACCATATCACTGGTCAATTCATCCGCCAAACTCCTATATTACATACACACAACTCCTATTATATACACTGTACTAAATCTGTATTTTTTTTTTTTTTTTTGTTTTTTTTTTTTTTTTTTTTTGTTTTTACTTATTTGAATTTGTTGTTTTTTTTTTAGTATTTTTTGCTTAATTTAATTTAACTTAATACTTTTTGCCCCCTCTAAACTGCTGGTAACCTTAATTTCCTGAGGGGTTTTTCCCAAGGGATCAATAAAGTACTGTCTAAGTCTAAGTCTAAATCTAAGAAAAAGTTCAAATAAGTGCTGACACTTTGCCTTAAACTTTATATCTGGACATGGAGGTGGACATGCATTTAGCAGCTCCTGACTGCTTCATTTCAGGCTAAACCGTTTCTCCTCACAATAGAGTCTCATGTAAAAGTTTCCCGGATGGGACCGATGTACTCAGGATTATGTTGGAGAAAATGTGGAACTGATAATGCTAATCACACACACATATTTTGGCAATGCCCTAAATTAAATCTGTTTTGTAAAGACATTTTTGATGCCCTAAAAGTAATCTTCAAACAGGAAATCCCATTCTGTACAGACATTAACTTATTGGGAGTAACACCTACGACTATTATTACATGAGATGAAAAATATGTTTTGAATATATTATTAAAAGCTGCTCTAAAATGTATAACAATCAGATGGCTCCAACCTGAGCCTCCTTCCTACAATATTTGGATTCAGAAAGTCTGGGATATATACCAAATGGAACATATAACATATTCTCTGAGACTACAAATACCCATATTCACTAAACGTTGGAGATCCATGGTACCATTAATAATGCAATGGTGTTTTTTTTTGTTTCTTTCTTTTTTTTTCAAACTCTCAAAGTCTGGAACTTTTACCTTTCATACTCTTGAAATCACCCTGTTGTTTGTTTTGATTTTTAAGTTTAAAAGTGTAAAAATACACGTACATTTGTACTAAACTGTATTATTTCTGAAAAAATAATAAAAAATTTGTTAAAAAAATAAAAAATAAATACAAAGTTTCTCGGACAGACACATAAGTGGGGTACCCCTCCGAGGGGAGAAAATAAAGAGTGACCACAGCATCCTTCCTGTCACCTGACCACTCTTCCAGGAGCTGAACTGGATCATAATGTGATAAACTGAGATGGACCACAAAAAAAAAGGATCCCCACTTATCTATTGCATTTAATGCATAAAGGTCCTTGAGGTTAATAGAAAGATTAAGATGGGATTACTCTCTTACTCGCTGCTTTGTCGGCGTAGGTTCTGGCGGGAACGACTGCAGCTCCATGCAGTTTGCAGGGGAGATTGTGGCCTCGCTGTGAAACAAATCATAAAAAGGGTTTAAAAAAAAAATTAAAAAAAACAATCACCAACATAAAATGAGTCAATCTAGCTTTACAATGTGACACAATGTGGACACAACTAAAACCAATGTTCACTACAATGTTTCATACTTACCTTAAGAGACTACAGAGTAGACACATTTTATTAACATTTCTATTAAATGAAATACTAAATGCTGCATTGGGATCTTAAGAGAGGGAATCGCCAATAAGTTTGCCAAACTGGACCAGACAAAATATAAAATGCTTTGTATCTATTTGAACTATTTGAACGGTGACAGTTAGGTAAATGTCTTTAGTTATATAAAGCGTGTTAAACCACAGGAGCAGCTAACTGTTTAATTCCATTAATGAAAGCGGATAGGTTATAAATTATGTTATCTGCTTACGACACAAGACTAAATCAAGAGTTAGGTAACCAATGCTAGCATGGCTAGCATGCTAACATTTCAATGAAACGATCCAAAAATCCTTTTTGACGAATCCAATTTTAGGACATGAAACCACACCACAATTAAGTTGTGTAAGATTTATATTTAGTGCTGATTTCCCGTGAAAAGGAGCAGATCTGACATTATTTCTTAATACGTTTACCAAAACAACACTGTGGAAACATGCAACAACAAACCTATTAAACTCTTTTAAAGGGCACCATGGTCTTTTCCTTGTATGCCAATTTAATATTAACATAGCATAGCTTCAAAATATACATGAAATCAATATATATGTAAGTGGATACTCTATATGACAAGTGGAGATTTGTCTACATGTTAAAAGTTTACTCTGTGGCGTGTGACGCTGCGACTTCAGCTGCCAAGAGCTGCTAGCTTGCTAAACCTTGGACATTTCTAGAATCCTCGTAATTAGCAGCAAACATGGCCACGTTGAAACATTTCCAGAACACACAGGGAACCCACAGGTGACATGCTTGACATCCTTACCGTGGCCAGAGATCGGTAAAGCTGCGTCCAGCTCTGCATTTTGACTGTCAGAGAACGAGTAACCTACAGGAGGCCGATGAACCAAGGACTCCTCTGACTGCGCACGCGCAGTACCGGCAGGAAAAGGTATGGCTGTGTCGCATCTATGTGACGTCAAAGCATTATTTAAGCAGATATTCATGTAAAATAAAATAAAAAAGATTGAAATTGACATCGAAAAGATGTCTTGAATTTCAACTGGAGCAATACCATAGAATAATCTTTGACATATATTTTCTATAAAATCAGTAACAGTTATATGTTTGTTTTAACAAATAATAGTTTTAAAAACGTTTTTTATATCGATAGTTTATGCTTAACCCTTTTACATTGTAACAATAAAAGTCCACCTTTTTTCTGTTTATTTATCAATAAGTCAACAAATAAATGTCTGGTGTGTTACCCCTTTTGATGAGTTCAACTGTAAAAATCTATCAAGGTATTAGTATTCTTATGTTATAGAAGCAAAAAATTGTGTGAAATAACAAGAAAATGTAAAATGATGTATTTGAAGTTTCGGCAGGTTTTCTTTATAAATACAGTGAAGGAACTGATCTAAAGACTCTGAGATGACAGAAACATTATTTTTAACTGTAACACACCAACACAAGCAGTTTTGTCATGCCCAAAGACTGTCATGTGCCATTTTCCTGTGGACAGAGTTGGTGCCCAGCATCTGACCCCCTAACCCCAAGAAAGCCAGATACTATGAATATCCAAATGAATAAAGCAGAGAACTAAGAACATGCCATATTTACTGTGATCTTTGTAACAGAGCTTAATCAGCTTTATTACCTCTCCCCACTTTAAACAAAAACTTAAATGTGTCAGACTACTCAAAAAAATAAGACAAACTACAGTTGGATTGCAATTTATTTACAAAGCTTAGTACAAATCAACCAATTAAACACCTTTATTTACCGTACATCCCACTTCCAAGTCTAAATGCTGGTGGAAAGTATGTACAGATCCGGTTAGATTATACAATAGTCTATTCTATTCTGAAGGAATGATATACTTTATACAATTTTGTCTACAGCACGGTCATCGAAATGTGGAACTATCTGGCTCACATTGTGACTAACAAACATAGCCCTGTATTTTCAAATATACAGGGCTATACTTAATCGCCATTTTTAAGGAAAGGCAGTGTGGCCTCATAGCAGCATGTAGCGGACCAGCCGCCCCCCCCGGAGCTCCTTCAGGCGCTGGCTGTGTCGGAGCATGTTTAAAATCCCCTGAAAGCGTTTGTCCACCTTCGTCTGGGCAAACTCCCGGATGTCGTCCTCCACGATAAAAAACTGACCTGCAAGACATTTAAACAAAGCGTTCTAAAGACTAGAAAATGGATGGATGCCCTCCTTTGTTGTCTTTTGTTTCATCTCTGCTGTCCGTCTAACCTACTTCACAGCCATCAGGGAAAGTTAACACCCAAAAAATTAACAAAATAATGCACTTTTTATTTATTTATTTGTCAAAGCCTCCAGAAGATCCAATAAGCTGCAAAGTCCTGATGAGAACCAGCAGCAGAGATCAGATTCCTCCACGTTCTCCTCATTGGCTCCCTGTTGGATTCAGAACAGAACCTAAAGTTCTGTCCTAACATCTAAACTCTGAGTGAGCAGCTCCATCATCTATTAAATAACTCTTAGTTGGATATTTCCCCCAACAGTCCCCTGTTCAAAGAGAGTTTTTCTTTCCTCCATAGCATTTGGCCCACTCGGGACGGTTTAATGAAGAGTAGCAGGCCAATCTGTTGGTTTCCTTGGCTTTACATTTTTTTTAAATGGCTTTATATGAGTTGGACTGATGATTAAAGTTGATTGTATTCTGACTGTAATGCAGCAAATTGTACTGTGACTACCTATAACTGGATTGTGTCTTTGAATTACCTTTATATTAATTGACGCTATAACAAAAAGAACATTTTCAGTGAGCAGAGCTTATATACAGTGGGGGAAATAAGTATTTGACCCCTTGCTGATTTTGCAGGTTTGCCCACTTACAAAGAATGCGACGATCTATAACTTTAATCATATGTACATTCTAACAGTGAAAGACAGAATCCCAAAGAAAATTCCAGAAAATCACATCATATGAATTAATAAAAATTGATAACCATCTGATGAGGAAAAACAAGCATTCTTTGTAAGTGGGCAAACCTGCAAAATCAGCAAAGGGGTCAAATACTTATTTCCCCCACTGTATCATTCAGCAAGTGTCAAATAAGAAAGCATATGCCGACCACCTTTGGTGTCTTTGGTCTCCTGGTCCTTAAAGCGCTGGTGCAGCTTTCGTGCGTGGTTGCTGAGCGCTTTCAGCGGCTGGTGCACGATCTTATATTTGGCCGTTACGGTGAGGTTGATGCTCTGCACGGCTGCGTTCAGCTGGTCGTAGGACACGCGGCCTTTCATGTACCTGGTGGTACACACACGTACACACACACAAGCACACACACACACGTACACACACACACACACACACGCACACGCGCACACACACAAATGTCCAGGAGATACCACATTAGATAAGATTCATTTTCCTAATTGTTCAATTAGATGTGTTTCTATCTATCTATCTATCTATCTATCTATCTATCTATCTATCTATCTATCTATCTATCTATCTATCTATCTATCTATCTATCTATCTATCTATCTATCTATCTATCTATCTATAAAGAATGACAAAGTCAAACAGGAGGAGCGTTAAACAGATAATTATACACATCTTAAAACAGCCCGAGGGGGTTGAGGGCGCGGAGCAGCAACATGCCTCACAAGGCCCCGGTGCCT